GGTTTTATTAAGGGTAGTGTAAATGGGGTAAAAGTTTCCCCACTTTCCTTGATTGGCCCTTGTCTGGTTCCTTGGCTGGTTCCTATAATTCCTTTTTAAACATCAATCTTTGTACTAAAATATTCTTTCTGTCCTGATTGTGGACATTAGGATCTAAAGAAAAGAGTCAGACCCTGTAATTCAGTGAAAGGTTGGAGTCAGGGTAAAAAATGTTCACGCCCAGGAGAAGGCCAGTGGGTGGAAGTTGGAGGGGATTTTGCTGCCGTTCAGCTGGCTTTTGACTGGGAAGGGTCATCCTGAATGGCTGCTACTCTATTTGTTTCTGATAAAATACGGCTACATATTCCAAGCCTCCTTACTAAGACACACATGGCACCATCTGACCAACTGGTAGCCATTGGCACAGCTACCAAATAAGTCCAGATCGAACAGACCGTGCTCTAATGCCTCATGGAAATTCCTGCCTTAAATTTTCATAGGTGATCTTGAACGTTTATTTTATTAACAACTACTGTATGCTGGGAGTTCCCTACTCGCTCTCTTCAGCTTATTTACCAACTGTACACATGCGCAGTGATGTAATCCCAATCACATGATGTTGTCACGGTACATATATACAGAAAGGCTATATTTACTAACACAATTGTGTAAAAATGAGTAAAAACAAAGCTTAAAAGCTTCAGACTGATGTAGCGGTTTATGAATGTTTCATGCTCATTTAAAAGTTTTTCTTCTAATGAATGCCAAATAGAGGGGACCATTCTTTTTTTGATTTCCAAATATTTACAGCAAAAGAAGAAGTCTGAGTTAACTTTCATTCATCAATGCAAGGACTTCAAGCAAGGGCAAAGCTTCATAAAGAGAGATTACAGGATTATTCAATACGCATGATATTTAAATGAATGAGCTCCACAATCTCATCATTTAAGAGTGAGGTCAATGAAAGGGTGACTGCTGAGGAAAGTTTCCAATAATGGTGAAATTCTCTAAAGTACAGAACTATATGGGATTTTTAATTAACTATTTAAACCGCTTGAAGGTGAATCTCTGGAAGGTTAAAACTTTATGACTTAAGGTTTTCTTTTGATGCTGCAGCCAGTGGGAGCAGGTTTGCTCTGTTTGCTCAAAAACGTGAAAGTTTCGATTTTTTGTGAGCTAATATTAAAAGAAAACACAGAGCTAAAAACCTGGTGCTGAAAATATTCACAATTTGTTTTAATTGTAAGTTTTTTTGAGGTTTCTTTTTTTATTTGGCTCAGGTTCCTTTAACAAATTTTTGTGGTTGGAAATCGGTGGCTCAGAAGCACAACCTAACCTGCCTTAAATGAACCCAGGTCTAAATAGATTTATACTTCCCTCAGGATTGACTTATAAGAACATCAGTTTCCTAGTTTTTTTTATTTATTTATTTAAGGGTTAAAGTTACTATTACACTCCAAAAATGCTTGATCAGGTGGTGCCTCTTATTTCTTGTTCAGAGGTTAAAATCTGATTTCTTGATATCTTAAACATCAAGAACAACTTGTAGAATTTCATGCGTTAAAATTATTTACAGTATGGAAATCTTATTGTGAAAGTATGAGGCAGCAAATTTGGAAGAAGCTTAGTCTGTGCTTCATTCCTTCATCCAACCATGCAGCCACATTTAATCTCTTACTGGTCGTCAAAATGGGACAAAACACAGAAGTTTAGATTTTCCAACTACAGTGACTGTTGCTTTGCATCCAACACGGGTGGAATAGCTAAAATCAGGACAGTGGTGTTGCTAGAAACATGTCTGTTACATTGCTTTATGTCGCTTCACTCCTGTTACATGCCTTTATTTTAGGTTAAAATGTAAATCATTTGTTTTGCTTTGGTTGCAAAAAATATGATAAGTGTGAAAGCACCTTTATTGACAAGCTATAACGCAAGATAAATAAAGCACCTAGGACTTCATAATGGTATAAAGGCCTAAACAAGATAACTTCCCCTTTTAAAAGTAATTTTCCTTTAAAAAATAGGTGAAACTTCTTACAAATAAATAAAACTGACCACAGACTGTTGTTAAAAATGTTATTGTTTTAAGGAGTCCTAGACAGTAAATAAACAGGTACATGTCAAACTGTTTTATTCTTGCCCCTATAAACCTATTACTAGGAAAATAATTTGTTTTGTTTGTTTTATTTTTAAATAGTAGGACAAAATAATCTCCAGCCGATTGGTCAAAATGCTGATTATTTGATGCCATTGCATCATCCCATTTGTGTTTCAACACACATTTGTTTTAGAATTAAACAAACAAAAAGTGCAAAAACAAAATCAGCTGTAATATTAATAAAAATGTTATAACTCAGTCATAAACATCTTGATGAGATGAACAAGTAACTAAACATTCCAACTAAAGACCATTTTGGAAATGATCAGTTTATGTGTTACATTACATTTTGACCCCCTGGTTGCAAATCTAAAGTTTATTTCAGTTAAGATCTTGAAATAAGAGTTTTTCCCTTGATTTAAATAGGAAAGGCAATTTTTCAATGGAGTTGGGTAGCTTAAGATCAAAATAAGGTAAAAAAAAAAAACAACCCCATAATATATTATTATTATTACCTTATGTTGGTTTTGAAGCATCTATTCAATTGGCTGGTCAACATACTTACCTGCTTATATTAAGGGCAAATACCGTATGTTGAGAATTTCTTCCTTATCTTTAGATTGGGTTTACTATGCCTCCAGTAGTTTTTTTTTCTTGCTGTACTCAGGAAGTCATGTTAAGACATAAACCCACATGTGTCCTCCCACCTTTCCGTTGCCGTTTTTGCAGCCTTTCAGTCAGATTCCTCATGTGAATCAGCACTTCAGCGGCCTGCTCCGAGCTCCACTGCAGCGAGGAGTCGTCACTACATTCTGCTGCCACCTGTCACATAACATCAAACTCAGCACTATGTTTTCACACTAAATATGTAGACCTGCAAGTAGTACAAAGGTTTTACCCCGTCTTTTTTAAACATTTCAATGCATTATTCAGATTGGTCAAACCTTTAGATCCCCGGTCAGGCTGTCAAACAACCCAGGCTTCAATTCACAGCTTTCATGATTTCCAGAGGAACAAACAACTTAGAAGAAATAACAGGGAAATAAAAAAATTACAAAAAGGTTTCATAACTTTATAGAATACAGATAAAACAGTTTCTATTTTGCTGAGATTACCTGCTAGAGAGCACAGCAATGTCAATGCTTCCCTTAATGCCATGACCAGGAGTAGTTTTTATTTTTTTTTTTGAATGCTCTGACAAATTTATTGAGTCTGAGGGGGCAAAGTTTAGAGGATTCACCAAATATAGACCTTGTGCTAAACGAAGAGTCCAGGGACTGCCAGAATTTTGTAAGCTCATTGCAAAACCTCCACCTCCAGCCAATTCAAAGTATTTTTTTTTGTCCAATTCCTGAAGGCTGGAGAGTTTTCCAGAATTACAGAAAATGTGATTTTATTTTTTCTCTCATTTTTGAGTGTGCATGTCTCTGCTTCATGCTGTTGGGGGAGCTGGTAGCTCACGTTCTCTGCTCTGACTGAGCTTCTTGAGACACGATGTGAATCCTCTGTCGTGAGTCCAAATACCTCCCAGACGGACAACCCCCTCACACACACACACATCCAGCAGCCAGTAATACACGCCGGGTGACTCAGTGTCATTCGCTGCACCGTGCCACAAAGAATGACTCTGTAAATAATTCACTCTGGATGTTATTCATTATGGATGTCTGACGATCTTGGCAGGAATGAATTATTGAGGCCTTGTGGAGGAGTGATTGAGCTCATTAACATAGAGAATTGGCTTTTATGTTTGATTTGAAGAACAAAGATTAGTCCTTGAAATGGACTTGGAGAGCTGTAATTATCTTTTTATCAATGCGTTCTCTGCATGTCTTGATTCTCTCAAGGCCTTCCTCTCTCATCTTCTGAACGATGTGTTTTGTTGGATAAAATTGATGCAGAAAGCAACAGGTTTAGTTTCTAAACACAAGGAGTCTGCGTCAGAATCTGTCTTTTATATCAAGGTTTTACAGAGGTAGGCACGTCATGGACCTTTAGTAATTCATACAAGGTTTTATCCTTTATATTCTATCAAGTATTATAGGAACTGTGTTCCCAAGAGGGCGCTGTAGAGGCCGGAAAGTCCAACTTCATTATTATGAATACTACTTCCATCTTCAGCTGTATGATGGTACAAATGAAAGAAAGATGTAAAGCATTCATAATCAATATTTTTAGAGTCTGCAAAAAAAAAAGAAAGAAAGAAAAGAAACAGCAGAAGGAAAAGCTGTTTCCTGAAAGAAGCCAGTTTTTAGTTCCATTGGACTGACTGATAATCAGCAGGTCAAACAACAAAACAAACAAACTGCTTTCTGTTCCTGTAAAAAGGGAGTTTTTCCTCTTTTCTGTTGCTGATTAATATGAGAGATTGCTGTAGAGTCAACGACACAAGCCAATTTTTAGTGGTGATTTTACAGGTAAATACTTTAAAAACGATGACTGAATTCAATCAACTAGAACAACTTTTATCAGTCTGTCTGTCTGACTGAATTGTCTCTGTCAAGCGTTTAGAGGTAACACTTTTTAGGAACTGATGCTATGCAGAAATGTATTATACCATGCTTTCTTTAGCTGGTCCTGTTCACTGCTTTCTTCAGGTAACATACCTTTAGAGCTTGAAACTAATGAAAACAATAGTGATCTAATAAGTTTTCCCATGACTTTATGTTGGAATCAGTGCTACATATACAGTAGACATAACAATGAAAAGATGAAGTCTGTATGAAGATTTAATGTTAAAAGTCACGTGCATTGCAGGAACATAGCAACAGAGGTAAGAAGAGTGGTCAAAGATTTTACTGAAGAGAGAGAAAAAGTAGAAATGAAAGAGATTACTTAAAGGAAAAGTCCGGTCAGCAAGGAATAACCAATGGATCGTTATCTATACCCAAAACTAATACGTTTATGGCGATTTAATGAATTTAGCATTAATCAATAAAAAAATAAAAATAGTATTTTTCATCAGCCATCACTGAGTCTGGGAGCGGCCATTTTTGTCCAAATATAGTAACCCCTCCCTCCTGCCATCTTCCAGCAGTGAT